CCAATCCTCTAGCTGATGGGATATATTCCCCCACCACGTCTTTGGAAGCTTTGAGGGGTGTCCTTGCTATTCATGCTGTCAGAGGTGGCACCTTGTTGTCAGCAGATGTGAGCGTTGCCTTCATGCAAGCGCCTGTGCAGGGAGTAGAGTGTATCCGGTTTCCGAATGGGATGTATGATGAGGAGAACAAGCCGCTGTTTGCGCAGCTACACAAAGCCATGAATGGCTTGAGAGTAGGACCACTGAGCTGGTACCTAGAGTTTACAAGCACGCTGCGTAAGCAGTTTGGGTTTGGTGAGACTGCCGACCCTACTGTGCATCACCGGCTTGAGAAGGATGGTGCGCTGACCTTGGTGTTAGTGTATGTTGACGATCTCATCATCTTTTCCCAGAATCCGCCAGTTGCCAAGGATCTGTACGCTAAGCTAGCGAAGATCTATAAAATGAAGCAGACAGGACTTCTAGAACCTGGTAAGACCGGGCAGCTCGAGTTCTTGGGTCGAGTGATCGCCCGAACAACTGAGCACGGACCTGTGTTCTTTGGCCTGAAGCCGGGGTACTTGAAGTCGCTTGGAGAAGAGTTTGGCATTAGCGGAAAAGGTGTGAAACCAGTGCTGGGAAACCTCGAGAGGGAGTACCGGAAGAAGGAGGCTGGAACACCTATCAGCACTGAGGCGTATGAACGCTATAGACGTGTGCTTGGTAAGTTGATGTGGGCAAGCCTGACGTTGCCGCATTTGTCCTACCCGGTAGGATTTCTGGGCCGGTATCAGAGTGACCCAGATAGCCAGGCAGAAGCTTGCTTGAGACGCGTGGTTCGTTGGGTGATGGCTTTGCCTGAGTACCTTCAGCGATTTTCGGCAGAAGCGTTTGAGTATCCTTGCTGCGCTTCGGAAACCATGCTCTCTGGCTTTGTGGATGCGTCATGGAACATTTGCTCTGTGTCTGGTGCCATTGTGAAGTGGCATGGCATCATGATCAAAACTTTCTCGCGGAAACAGTCGGTGACCGCGTTGAGTTCGGCGGAGGCCGAATTGGCAGCCCTGACTGAGGCAGCCAAAGAGTCGGTGTACTTGTCTTTGCTCATGGAAACGCTCCTGTATGGAATGCCCAAAGGAGAGACCGGTGAGTTTCCGATTCACCTGGCTTCGGATTCGGAAGCCGCTTTGTCGATTAGCAAAATGACGGGGTTGTTACGCCGTGTTCGGCACCTGGAGCTTCGTCATCGCTATCTTCAAGAGCTAGTCCACCTGGAAAGGCTGATTCTAAGCTTCATCAGTGGAGAACGGAATCCAGCCGATGGACTGACGAAATCTCCTGAGGAGTTGTTGCTTGAGCATTTGCTGGTTGCGTGTGGACTGGAAAGAGTGTGTGAAGAAGACCTTCAGGGTCTTGTAGTTCCTGAACACCTTCGTGAACGAATGGAAGAACTTGAAGAAGTATGTGAAAAGCTTGAGAAAATCCCGACAAACCTGGCGAAGTACGAGCCAGTGGCAAGAGACCTTGCGTTGGGATCTGTTCCTCTGCTTGTGATCGAGGTGTTTTGTTCAACGGACAGTGCGTTGTGCCGAGCGTGTGCTCGTGACCGAGTAGCATATATAGGCATAACTGAGAAAGAAGACTTCTTAAGCAAGAGTACTCAAATGTTTCTAGGAGAGGTCTTGCTGTGTCTGTTGAGTAGGAAACCGCCCCAGATCTATGTCCACATAGCTTCCCCGTGTACCGCTGGATGTAGCTACCGCTTTAAGAACTGGCATCGACCGAAGTTTCGACATCGGTGGCGAGAGCAGGTCAAGAAGCATGTTGCATCTTGGAAAGCTCTAGGAAGACTTCTGGAGGACCGCTGCAAAGAGATCCTGGTTACCCAGGAATGGCCAAAGAACTGTGGTCTTTGGAAGGAGGAAAGTTATCTGAAAGAAAAGAAGCGCCTTGGTCTGAACTTTGGAAGGGTTGTGGACCGTTGTGCCTTCGACGGGGTCTTTAAGCGGTGGTTCTTTGCTACTAACCGAGAGGAGTGGAGTGAAATCTTCTCTGGAAAGCCCTGTGACAAAAGTCATCAGCATGTTTCACTTGCTAGTGTCGAAGAAACAGGTATCTATCCGACTAAACTGGGTAGAGCTCTTTTGCGTGCTGCGAAAGTCACGTTAGGTCTTGTAGGAACACCTTCTTAGGTCGGCAGTAGGAGTGCTCGCTTTCGGACTTTGCCTGGGATGAGATGTTTAAGCACTGGAAACACCGAGCTGTGAAGAAGTGCGTGGCTCTGAGGCATCACAGTCCAAGCGGGGGTGTGAAAGTTCCTGTCTGGCTCAAGGTTTCGGCTCAACCCCGGTGGGGTGCTCAGGTAGAGAGCGTCTTTAGTGCCGTTGTGGCTGGCCCTGGGGCTTGTAACTAAGGGTAGGTTCCGTTTTGAGGCCTGGCAAAACTGTGTTTGCTCGTAGGCCGGCTGACCGGCTAAGCTGTCATAGAGCGGCGGCCCGCCAACTGCTGCCGTCGACGAAGGGCGTGAGTGCACAGTTTTCGGCCTCGCTTCGCTAGAGGGAAGCTTTTCGTCCTCGCGTTGCTGAGGGAACCTTGTGGCCTACAGTCTGCTCTGGGTCACAGTGAGAGTTGCAGCCTCGATTTGCTTGAGGGGTGACGCTAGAGCCTGTTGCTCACCAGAGATTCCTGCTGTCTCTGGGTGAACAAAACCCGCCGACCCTCATTTGGATTGAGGGCTGTGTGTTAGGGTGAGTTTGGGTTCCTCGCTCGTTTGTGTGGAGAACGAAGGTGAGACCGAAACACGGGGGAAAACGGCCAAGGCACGTTGCAGACAGTGCAGGCCAACGTCGCACTGCAAGCGGCATCCTTGCAGTTGTTGACAGGAGTGTCCCGAACAATAGCGGTGTGCTTGAGCCCGAGTTTGCTGGTTTTCGGGGATCTGCAAGCTGAGCACAACTGGATATTCTTCGCAGGTAGAATCAGGTAGAACAGATTTGGCCCAACCCTGGTGGATCTGCCTGGACACAAATAACCAAAGGCATCAGTGTCGTAAAGCTCATTGACTGGTGCTACTGAGAAACCGTTGCCAAAGAACTTGCAGTAGGACTGTGGTGCGGCGCAGTGCAAGTTGAAGAGCAGCTGTTGGTGGCTGCTCCCCGGAAAACCAATAGTCCAAGAAAGCCTCCTTCGGCCTCGCTCCGTGCTGAGGGTTTGTAAGGGTTGGTATTGGCCGGAAAGGATTCAGATGGAGGTTACCCGATCTTCGCGCTTTTCCCATCTGAAGGCAACCAATGGTAATCAGCCTGCTGGACATGGCAGGCCTGCTTTTGTTTACATCCACGTCTCCTGCAAGGGCTGGGGTCTGTCCGTGCACACAGACAAGGCGGAACCTTGCAGATGTTTAGGTCCTCGCGGCACGGCCGCTGGAGGTTGTTTGAAGATGTTGGCTCTCACTGTCTGGTGAGTGGTTTTATGGGCACTTGCTGGGGCAAGGCGGCTCTGGCGTCTGAGGATGGTACATGTGCTGGCTGCTGAGTACGGGCCACCGAAAGAGACCTGTGGTAAGACAAGCGATGAAAGGAGCCGAACTCCTAAACTCTAGGACAGGCTAGCTCACGCGGACGCCACGCAGAGTATGTGTCACTATCTTCAGATGTTGGAGCCAAATTGCCTAGCCGTGTGACGTGTGATGTGGTGTTTGGATTCGGCCTCAAGCACTGGAAGGCCTACAACAACAAATCCGAATGAAAACTGTGGTCCTAAGACACGCGGAGCAGCTGCTTATACGTGGCACCGCGGGGGTCACATAGAGATAGAGGGCTTGCCAGCAAGGGAACTCTGTCTAGAGATAGCCCTGGCTCAGTGAGGAGCTGAGGGCCTGGCTGCGCAGATGCAGCGGAATGGTTGTTCGGCCTCGCCTCCGCTGAGGGAACAACAGTCAATGCTTCTCTGCAGTGTCGGTCCGGGTTAGTAAGAGCGAGAACGCCGGGACCTCGAGCTGCAGTTTTACCATGAAGCAACCGCGTGAGATGCATTATTGGTCAACTGGTGAGTAAGAGCGAGAAAGCCAGGGTGACGCTACTTTGGGGGAGGCTGCAAGGCACGGTTAGTAAGTGCGAGAAAGCCGGAGCTGCGGACGAACCTGGAGTAGCAGACTTTCATACCTCACGTGTTTCACTTTGCGGCCTCGCATGCGCTGAGGGAATATGCCTCGAACAGAACATCCAGTGCTGAGTGGGGATTGCCAAACATACGGAGGCTGATGCCACAACAAGTGCCTCAACAGCAATGCATGCGGAGGGCAAAGTCGGCCTCGCGAGTGCTGAGGGTTGCAGCTGAGAGAGGGCCTAGCTGAGAACGCAACACCTCAAGCGAGGTAATTTTTAGTTTAGTTTCACTTTGACCAACGGCCCCTTCGGGTGGCTACGCGACGCAGCGTGCAGACGAAAGTTCCTGTCTGGCTCAAGTTTCGGCTCAACCCCGGTGGGGTGCTCAGGTAGGGAGTGCTGTTGCCTGGAGACTGTACCTAAGGGTGGGCTCCAACAGGACTCAAACCGAAACCACTGTGTTGCTTGGTAGTCGGCTGCCAGCAACATAGCTGCCTGAGTACGGCCTCGCCAAGTGCTGAGGGAATTTTTTGGCCTCGCATCGGCAGAGGGTGTGTTTTCGGCCTCGCTTCGGCAGAGGGAGGGGCAAGTTTCGGCCTCGCTCCGGCTGAGGACACATAAAGTTCGGCCTCACTACGGTTGAGGGGATCTTCAGGCCTCGCATTGCTGAGGTGCTGGTGGGACTGGCATCAGGCTGCAGCAGTCATGGGGAAGCATTGTACTGTGTGTGCCCACTGTGAGGTGGGTTGGGTCTGGAATGAAGACTTGTACTACAACCCGAACTGCTGGCATTGCGGAAAGGCGTGGAAAAAGGCCACCTACCGTGAGCGAGCATGGTCAAGCCAGCGTAAGAAGTGGCAATGGCCAAAGGACGACGCTACATGGTGGACAAGACAGGCCAAGAACAAAGAAGGGATGGCCGACCAAGCCCTCACGAAGGCGTGGGGTACGCTTTCTATGGAGGCAAAGAAGGCCATCGAAGAAGCAGGATGGAAGCCGCGGACGATGGAGCCGGGGCCCAATTGGCCCCCGGGACTACCAGGTAGTGGATCGCAAACCGAAAGCATGACGCAAAAGGAGTACTACGAGGCCATTGAAACGGTGTGGCAGGGAGCTGAGCCCGCAGTGCAAAGGCTGCTCAGAGCAGCGGGTATTCCCCCGCCAGGGGACTACAAGCCTGAGGATGAGACGCCAAAGCAGGAGCTCAGCCGCCATGTTGGTACATACAGAAGGACGACAAACAAGCTGAGATCACTCATTGAGAAGAAGGTCCGGCTTCAAGACAAAACGGAAAGGATCAAGAGCGAGTTCGAGCAGGCCATGAAGCAGCTTGCGCAAGTCAGCCAGGCCATCCAGACCACGGAGCTTGAGGTTGCGGAAGCACAGAGGAAGGTACAAGCCTGTGTGAAAGATGAGGAGGATTCGCCGTACAAGGACGTCGCGTCCTACCTGGAAAAGGAAGGGATCATCCTGACCGACGAGCAAGCGGAAGCGCTCAAAACAAGGATGGCAGTCAAGGTCGTGGAGACAGACTGGACTGGAGTCTTGGGACCACGAGAGCCAGGCATGCCAACCGAACTTGGCATGTATGGGCCGATGCGCATGTCTCGAGATGTGTCAGTCAGGGCAACGCCGACGGGGCGCGAACGCTCGCCGGCGCGTGCCCATGGCGAATGAAGCCTCAGGCTGGGACAGGAGTGGAGGGGCCGACACCTCAGAGTCGCTCCTGGTCCGAACAGCCAAAAGAAGCAAGCAAGACAGTCTCAGGAGTCTCAATGGGGAGACTCTGTTTACACTTTTGGTGGTGGCCGGAAGCAGTGTCACGGGGACATTGTATGGCCACAGGCGCATGGGGAAGGCAGTCAAGCTGTGTCTAGTACCCATGTGCCTAGTACAAACAGCACAGTGGAAGACAGCCAAGAGAGCTGGAGTCCAGTTACGAGGGGTCCGGAGCCTGTCCGAGCTGTGGACAGCAGTTGGGCGGTCACAGGGCCCAGATACTTCCATATAACAAGGGAAGACATCGAAGAGGAATGTGAGCATTCGGCCTCGCGAGAAGCTGAGGGAAGCCAAATACAGATGAGAGACCATGCAGCGGTTAGAGGGGAGAACATGAAGGCCTCGCAGGAAGCTGAGGAAACACGATTCTCGGCCTCGCCGTGTGCTGAGGGTCGCAGAGGAAAACAAAAGCCCAAGAAGCGGAAAGCAAAACCCACGGAACCACCAAAAGATCTGCCACAGGAGTGGCAAACGCTATGCCAAGTGGTGGGTAGATATGATGCTTCCAGTGAGGCTGCTGCACTCGAAGCCATTGAGAAGCTGGAAGAGCAGGAACTCAACCCGCTACAACAACGAGCATGCCACGAAGTGCTTCGTTCCTTTGTGGAGCATGACGCACAATATGCCAAATGGATCTTGGCAGATGTGGCAAGTGGGTATCGCCAAGATGATAAGGCCGAATGCATCAAAATCACAGCGGCTAACATCACCAGCTGGAGGAAACCCATAGCGGCATGGATACACGAACTAGGACCGGACCTGGTGGTGCTGCAGGAAACCCATCTCAAGACGGAGGGTATCCAGCAAGCCATGAGCCATTGCCAAGATATGGGATACACCTTCATTGGCATGCCAGGCAGTACAAAAATTAAGGGTGTACAAGGAGGCCTGGCAGTGGTGGCACCCCGACATAGGAATCTGCGATACCTTACCGAGTATGGGTCAGGACCGGCGGGCTTCCTGGCATGTGCCATGAGAAACAAAGGCTGGGATTTGATCATCGTCAGTCTGTATTTGGAGAGCGGGGTCGGATTCCAGGCTCCAAACAATATCCAAGTACTGACGAGACTGATAGCCTTTCTCAAGGGCTGCAAAGTGCCATATATGGTGCTGGGAGATTGGAATGAAGCCCAGGATACCATGAGGGGCACAACTATGGCGACAGAAGTTGGTGGTGCATTTGTAGGAGTGGGGGAACCAACGGCCCAAGGATCGGACGAAATTGATTACGGGCTGGTTGCGAAATGCTTGGTGCCCATCCTGCAAGTGAAAACGGATTGGGAAACCCCTTTTCGGCCTCATGCTGCGATGCATTGGAGGGTAGCCCAACCGAGCAGTAGCCCTGATGTTCCCCAGATGAAGAAGGCGGGAGCATTGGTGACGGAGACGGTGGAATACGAACCAGTTCAAAACACACAGAGCATCAACATCCTGGATGAACCCAAGATGGAAGATGAGCTCAGTGAGACATTCGCTCACCTGAGTGCCGGGGTGGAGAGGTCGATCACAGGCCGAATCGAAGGCATGGGTGTTAAATCCGAGATTGTCCGGAAGAAGTTGGTGGTCAACAACCCGGAGAACGTTGTCTGGACAGGCAAGAGGGCGGCCTTTTGGAACAGGGTCCAACAATGGGTCAAACAAGGCAGACATCATGGCGATGCGCATCCGGTGGCGCGTCTGGTCCAACGCAGGCTCGGCGAGTATTACGAGGGTGATGCGCAGAACCAGGAGGATATGCTCGTGAATATCCTGGGCCGGGGTACGGACGCTAGACTTGTTCTGAAGCGCATCGACGAACAGCAATGCTACGCGAGAAAGGCGGATATGGAAGAGACAGCCCACCAGTACAAGCAATGGCTCAGCAAGGCCATGGAAAAGGGCATGCGACCATTGTACAATGCCTTGCGAAAAGAAGAACAAGTGGTACAAAGACCCTACATGGAATATGACATGCTGGAACGGCCACACATTCGCCGAGACCACTGGGCGGCAGTGTGGACGACGGGCCAGCCGTTGGCAAAATCGGCCTCGCTCATGACGGAGCTTGAGGATGCAGCCAAAAAACAAGCGGCCAGCGTGGAGCCGCTGAACCCTGTCGAGGTCAAGGCAAGGATCAAAAAACTGGCACTAAAGAGCCCGGGGCCGGATGGCTGGAGGATTGACCATTTGCAGGCCATGGACGACAAAGCAGTTGAAGCCGTTGTGTCCTTCTACCATGAATGTGAGGCCAAGGCAGCATGGCCGCAGCAAATGACAGTCTCCCTTATAGCAATGCTGCCGAAGAATCTGACCCGGGAAAGACCAATCGCCTTGCTACACATCCTGTACAGGACCTGGGTCCGTTTGCGATGGGATTTGGTAAGTACTTGGCAGGCAGGCTATGCCCAAACTGCCACGTACGACAAGGCAGTCCCAGGCAGTTGCTGCTTGGACGTGGCCGTAGGCAGACTACTGCGAAATGAGGTGGCGAAGACAAATGGTGTGCATGTGGTGTCACTCTTTGTGGACCTCGAGTCCTTTTTCGATACCATCCAATTTCAGCAATTGATCACGGCAGCAACGGCCCTGCAATATCCATCGCTAATCCTGAAGATGGCACTGGAAGTGTACATGGGTGCCAGATATTTGGTGGCAGATGGGGTGCTGTCAGCAGGCATCAGAGCTACGAATGGCGTGCAAGCAGGGTGTCCAGCTGCGCCATCGTTGGCAAAGGTGGCATTGCACCCGGTGATAGATAAGATCCAAAGGCGACGAGATGTGGCAAACGTGGATTGTTGGTTGGATGATGTCTCAATTGACATCCAGCATAAGTCCTTTAAACAAGTGGCGGATAGTGCGATACGAGTCTACCGCAGCTTAAAGGACGGGATGGACGCTAATGGTTTCACGATTTCATCCAAGAAGACAGGGTTTGTGGCCAGCAGTACCCAGGCGAGCAAGCACCTGCGAGAACTCCTGTTGCCTCATGAGCCACAGGTGTACGACGTGATGCGTGACTTGGGCGTCGACAGTACAGGGGGGCGAAAGCGTCGCTTGGTGACGTCGGCAACGCGGGCCAAGAAAGCCCATGCGAGACATAGCAAACTGTCCAGGCTGGGGCCGCCGCCCAGCACTAAACTCCGAGTGGTCAAGGCAGCGATCACATCCGTTGCTTTGTGGGGGCACCCCTCTGTGGGGGTATCACCTAAAAGAATGAAATGGCTCCGAACAGTGGTAGGAAAACACCTGGGTAAATACAAGCTTGGGAGTTTGGAAACCATCTTGGACATGGGAGCCAAGAAATGCCAGGATCCAAAGCGCACAATCCACAAGCAGCATTTCAAGGTGGTGGCCAAGGTTTTCCGTGCATGGATTGGTGGCGGAAAAGCCCACTTTGACTTGGCCTGGAAAACCACTTGGAAGAGGTTGAGTGCGGCCAAACACCACTGGCCACTGGTCACGGGGCCGATGGCAGCAACCATGGCGTACTTAATGGATCTGAAGGTGGATGCCAGTGACCCAGGCAAATGGAAGAGAGGAAGTGTCCTCAACGTTGATTGGACCCAGCCACGCATGGGTAGCCTCGCCTACAAATGGCTTGAGGGATTCCTGGAGGAACAAAAACGGGCTGCAATAGCGCGACAGGCAGGTGGCGCTGGTGCCCAAGAGGGGCTGGATTGGACGCCGCATCACAAGCTGACGAAGCTGGGAGGCCTAAGCCCAGGCCTTATGGAAGGTATAAAGTCAGTGTGGCACGCGGGCGTCATCACGGAGACCAAGCCAGGATGGTGCAAGAAGTGCCAAATGCCAGCAACTCTGGAGCATGTCCTCAAGGAATGTCCTTACTGGCGTGAACAAGGGTTCAAAGAACCCAAGCTCCAGGAATACTTGCGTCACAAATACCCATGGGAGTGTTTGTGGACAAGGGCACTCCTGCCAAAGCCGGCGGTGTGGCACCCGAAGCCGCCGGAACACCTTTTAGGTCTGCGATACCAAGGATGCTTCGCAGCTGATGCAAAAGTGGAAGCGGAAGGCTTGATCTTCGCCACTGACGCCAGTGGAGGTCCAGGAGGAATAGACCCACGTGTACAAACATCAGCCCTTGCAGTAGTGGCTATGTCCTGGACAAAAGGTGTCCTGGTGGAAGTCGGACGGATTACAGAGCTGGTCTACCCGTGGCAGCCGGTGGTGGACATGGAGCGTCGTGCACTTTTCCGACTAATGGAGCACACGGAGGATCTGATTGATGTCACTATGGATTGCAAGCCGGCAGTCCAAGTGCTACAAAAAACACAACCGCCGGAGGATGACCTGGAATGGAGCAAAGTGTGGAATGGCAGGAAACGTATCAAGGCAACATGGGTCCCGTCCCACAAAACTGAAGAGGAATTCCTGGCGAAGATGGGGCCGGGTACGTTGTGGCGACGTGCAGCGAATGACATGGCAGACAAAGTATGTGGAGCAGTGGCGGCGGCTGCTTACAGCCCAGCGCACAAGAGGCGTGTCAAAGAATTGGACAATGTGGTGCGCACACTTTCCCTGGCGTACGGTGCACGCGCAGCCCACATATTGCGGAAGCGCAAAGAAGAAGACTTCCCCTTCATCCTGGACCATGCGCATTACAAAGAGAAGATGGAAGCCTCGCAGAAAGCTGAGGGATGCAAAAAAGAGCAGGGCAGCGCCAAACTCAACAAACGCCAGCGGCTTTGGCAGTTGCTTAAAAACCCGGAGCGCGGGCATCAATGGGAGAAGGGCAGCGAACACCCCCGGAATTTAACACTGAAATGTCAACTGTGCGGGTTGTATGTACAACAAACCCTCACGAACTTGGAGGTGGTCTTGGAGCAGTACTGCGTCAACCAGCCGGAGGCGCGAGTGCGTGAAGAGTGGGGTATCCACCCCTCCCATAATATGGTGAATTTGGGCATCCGTTGGGTTTGCACAAAGTGTGACAGAACACATGCACCGGTCAGCCAGAAGTGCAATAAAAGCCTGGCGGGTGAGTGCAAATCGCCGACTTCTCAAGGCAAGCTGGCTACCCAAGCGCAAACCCTTGTCAATGGTGGAAGTATGAGCAACGTCCAGTTTCAGCAGCCTCGCGTTCAGTTTGGTGGGAAACACGCCAAAGCTAAGCCCCAAGCCAGCGCACAGCAGAAGATGTCATTGTTTGTTAGGCCTCGCCAAGCTGAGGGAACGCAGTAATTCCGCAGCCGTTTGGTGCAAGGAGCAGGGTTTTTTCGGCCTCGTAGCTGAGGGTGAGGGCCTCGCAACGGGGACTTGCGATTGGTGTTTACGGCCTCGCTTTGCTGAGGGAGTGTAATTCGGCCTCGCGGTGCCGCGTGCTTGCGACATCGCCGGACAAGGCGGGCCTGTAGCAATGAGGCAATGGAAGACGGATGCTACGATGAGAAGACAAGGGTCCCGACTGCCATCCTGGTTAAGGAATCGGCCGGACAAAGGCAAGGGCAAAAGCAAGAACAAGCAGAAGGATCAGCCCCGTGAACGTTCCCCGCTTCGACAGGCCAGACACCCGGAGCAGCCTTGGGATAGTGAAGAGGAGAGAGCTTCGGAATCTCCGGTGGGTCCGGTACGCCTACGGGAGAGAGGAGAAGACAGTACGGCCTCGCCTCAAGCTGAGGGTGTCGATGAAGAGCAAGAGGCAAGCCAGCCTCGTACAGTCACGCTGGCGGAAGGGCCAGGTGCCCACAATATGGCCTCGCAGGAGGCTGAGGGAAAGGAGAAAAAGAAAGCCATGGGGCAAGTCAAGCCTGTGCACCTTTTGGTGCATAAATTGCAGAACCAGCAAAGGCCAAGGACAGCGCTCCATTGGCTTGGGGAGGTCCAATTGGTCCGCAACCCAACGACAGGGCAAAGCTTACAGCCTAGGGTGCTTCCCTTTATAGGTGCGGGGCGCACTCGACGAGGATATGCTCTGGATCGGCTATGGGTCATGAAACTAGCGATGGAACCCCAGAGCTTTGGCAACGAAGCAGGGTATGGGGAACAATTCCCCACCCTGGTCACCAGGACCCTGTGGGCAGGATGGATTGGAGTCCTTTTCGACGAAGCGGTGGAGGGTTACTGCCACCACTACTTCTATGGAAGTATCATCCGCAGGGCAGAGCTGTTCAACACATGGTGGCAGGAACATCGCCATGAAGCCGGGGTCCTCAGACAGTCCCTGTTTTACCTGGTGGCTATAACGTCATGGCTGACCATGCAAGGAGTTGCTCTATCGGATATCACGGTGAGCAACGTTGGGCGCGACCCAATGTCAGGATCGCTACCACGGGCAATGTTCTTTGACACGGCGGAGTGGACGACGCTGCAGGAGGAGAGATACAAGATATCATGCGGCCTCGTACGCCTCCTGGAGAAATATGATGAGGAGCTACTGGCAACCATACGTGGATTGGTCAGAACGTACGACGGCAAGGCCAGCGCGCTTTGGATGGCGTGCGTAGGCAATGTCGGGCCATTTGCCCAGCACCTGCTGGATGCCGGAATTGCAAAACGAGGATGGGATGGAACCCTACATTCGGTTCCGGCAACAGAGATCCAGAAAATCACGTTGGGCATGCCGTATGACGAAGCTGATGAGTGAGCAGCGCAGAACAGACAAGAAACATGGATAGTGGTCAGAGAGGCACCAACAAACCGAATCAAAATACCGCCTCGGCGTGCTGCCTGAGGAGTTTCGGCCTCGACTTCGGTCTGAGGGGTGCAAGAGAGGGAAGTTCGGCCTCGGCATGACCTGAGGGAATTTCGGCCTCGACCACGGTCTGAGGGAATGGATTTCGGCCTCGACAAATGTCTGAGGAAAGTGAGGGCTAGTACCGGTAGCCTCACTGTGCAGAGTTTGTAGCTTGTATGTTTCACCCACTAACCTCAGCCCCTTCGGGTGGCTACGCATCGCAGCGTGCAGACGAAAGTTCCTGTCTGGCTCAAGGTTTCGGCTCAACCCCGGTGGGGTGCTCAGGTAGAGAGCGTCTTTAGTGCCGTTGTGGCTGGCCCTGGGGCTTGTAACTAAGGGTAGGTTCCGTTTTGAGGCCCTGGCAAAACTGTGTTTGCTCGTAGGCCGGCTGACCGGCTAAGCTGTCATAGAGCGGCGGCCCGCCAACTGCTGCCGTCGACGAAGGACGTTCGAGTGCACAGTTTTCGGCCTCGCTTCGCTAGAGGGAAGCTTTTCGTCCTCGCGTTGCTGAGGGAACCTTGTGGCCTACAGTCTGCTCTGGGTCACAGTGAGAGTTGCAGCCTCGATTTGCTTGAGGGGTGACGCTAGAGCCTGTTGCTCACCAGAGATTCCTGCTGTCTCTGGGTGAACAAAACCCGCCGACCCTCATTTGGATTGAGGGCTGTGTGTTAGGGTGAGTTTGGGTTCCTCGCTCGTTTGTGTGGAGAACGAAGGTGAGACCGAAACACGGGGGAAAACGGCCAAGGCACGTTGCAGACAGTGCAGGCCAACGTCGCACTGCAAGCGGCATCCTTGCAGTTGTTGACAGGAGTGTCCCGAACAATAGCGGTGTGCTTGAGCCCGAGTTTGCTGGTTTTCGGGGATCTGCAAGCTGAGCACAACTGGATATTCTTCGCAGGTAGAATCAGGTAGAACAGATTTGGCCCAACCCTGGTGGATCTGCCTGGACACAATTAACCAAAGGCATCAGTGTTGTAAAGCTCATTGACTGGTGCTACTGAGAAACCGTTGCCAAAGAACTTGCAGTAGGACTGTGGTGCGGCGCAGTGCAAGTTGAAGAGCAGCTGTTGGTGGCTGCTCCCCGGAAAACCAATAGTCCAAGAAAGCCTCCTTCGGCCTCGCTCCGTGCTGAGGGTTTGTAAGGGTTGGTATTGGCCGGAAAGGATTCAGATGGAGGTTACCCGATCTTCGCGCTTTTCCCATCTGAAGGCAACCAGTGGTAATCAGCCTGCTGGACATGGCAGGCCTGCTTTTGTTTACATCCGCGTCTCCTGCAAGGGCTGGGGTCTGTCCGTGCACACAGACAAGGCGGAACCTTGCAGATGTTTAGGTCCTCGCGGCACGGCCGCTGGAGGCTGTTTGAAGATGTTGGCTCTCACTGTCTGGTGAGTGGTTTTATGGGCACTTGCTGGGGCAAGGCGGCTCTGGCGTCTGAGGATGGTACATGTGCTGGCTGCTGAGTACGGGCCACCGAAAGAGACCTGTGGTAAGACAAGCGATGAAAGGAGCCGAACTCCTAAACTCTAGGACAGGCTAGCTCACGCGGACGCCACGCAGAGTATGTGTCACTATCTTCAGATGTTGGAGCCAAATTGCCTAGCCGTGTGACGTGTGATGTGGTGTTTGGGTTCGGCCTCAAGCACTGGAAGGCCTACAACAACAAATCCGAATGAAAACTGTGGTCCTAAGACACGCGGAGCAGCTGCTTATACGTGGCACCGCGGGGGTCACATAGAGATAGAGGGCTTGCCAGCAAGGGAACTCTGTCTAGAGATAGCCCTGGCTCAGTGAGGAGCTGAGGGCCTGGCTGCGCAGATGCAGCGGAATGGTTGTTCGGCCTCGCCTCCGCTGAGGGAACAACAGTCCATGCTTCTCTGCAGTGTCGGTCCGGGTTAGTAAGAGCGAGAACGCCGGGACCTCGAGCTGCAGTTTTACCATGAAGCAACCGCGTGAGATGCATTATTGGTCAACTGGTGAGTAAGAGCGAGAAAGCCAGGGTGACGCTACTTTGGGGGAGGCTGCAAGGCACGGTTAGTAAGTGCGAGAAAGCCGGAGCTGCGGACGAACCTGGAGTAGCAGTCTTTCAAACCTCACGTGTTTCACTTTGCGGCCTCGCATGCGCTGAGGGAATATGCCTCGAACAGAACATCCAGTGCTGAGTGGGATTGCCAAACTTACGGAGGCTGATGCCACAACAAGTGCCTCAACAGCAATGCATGCGGAGGGCAAAGTCGGCCTCGCGAGTGCTGAGGGTTGCAGCTGAGAGAGGGCCTAGCTGAGAACGCAACACCTCAAGCGAGGTAATTTTTAGTTTAGTTTCACTTTGACCAACGGCCCCTTCGGGTGGCTACGCGACGCAGCGTGCAGACGAAAGTTCCTGTCTGGCTCAAGGTTTCGGCTCAACCCCGGTGGGGTGCTCAGGTAGAGAGCGTCTTTAGTGCCGTTGTGGCTGGCCCTGGGGCTTGTAACTAAGGGTAGGTGAGGGAATTTCGGCCTCGACCACGGTCTGAGGGACTGGATTTCAGCCTCGACAAATGTCTGAGGAAAGTGAGGGCTAGTACCGGTAGTCTCACTGTGCAGAGTTGTAGCTTGTATGTTTCACCCACTAACCTCAGCCCCTTCGGGTGGCTACGCCTCGCAGCGTGCAGACGAAAGTTCCTGTCTAAGGACATGTTAACTTTGTTGTCCTGCATGCTGGCTCAGAGTTGTGTGTGTGTGTAGTTAGAGGAACTCCGTAGTTGTGCCTTGGAGGCTCGACGGGAGTGCTGCTTTAAGTGGGAAAGCCTTTTGAAGTGCTTGAGTTGTAGGGATGTGTGTCTGGAAGCTGTAGGAGTGACTGTGCACGTTTTTGCTTGCTTTAGGTGTAGTTGGGTAGGTCCCGAGAACTCCCACTGACGTTTGAGTTTGTTTTGTGGTTGTGGAGAACACGTGGCAGAGCAGAGTTTTCACCTGTGTGTAAAGAGTTTCACTGACGAAGCCTCCGGCTTATGACTTTGGCTCAAGTCGTGAGAAAAAGAGGGTTCAGCGCGCTGCTGCTGTGTTTTCACACAATGGGCTCATGATATCTCTTCGCCTTGCTTTTAGGTCCCGCAGGTCAATGAGCTTCAGGCTCAAGATCTTTCTTCTTGCTGCTTCCGGGTCCGGGAGGGTGGGCTCTCCGCTTAATCGTAACCTCCTTTGCACCTTCTGATAGGATCCTTCTGGGCCTTCTGGCGAAGGTTCCGCAACTGCTGCATTTGCGGGCGTTGAATTTCAGTTGTTTCAACACCACAAGCTTGGTTTGCCCTTTGTCTTTGTCTTGTGCACTGACTGTTGGGTATGCCCGCTTCCAACCTTCCAAAGTTCTTCCGCCCTGCGACGTCTACCAGCGGAAATGCCGCACATGCACTGCTGCTCCTGCCCCAAGCCGCCCAGCTGTGGGCACGTGCCCTGTACCCTCAGGTCGAAGGATGCGGTCTGCCAGCGGCGGTTCGTGCTAGAATCAGCTCGGTAGAAGCCTCCCTGACAATGTGCCCGGCCCTAGCCCACTTGCACATGCCACATACTGCTGCGCTGACCGCTATGCATGTGGGCCTCGCCGCGGGGAGAGCTGGCGAGTGCAAACTGTGCGTTACGGGCTTCTCTGCGGGGTCGTATACGGGAGCTGCTGTGGCTATCGCTTGGCATGAGCGCCAAAAGCTTCCTGACTGCAAGGGCGACTTTGTCCACATCAAGGCACGTTTGGGCGGCATTGCCATGCCACGGGCCATGCTGCAATGTATACTGGGTTCGGAATTGCGGCACGCTGTTAGTCTTGTCCATTATGAGAGCGACCAGCTTTGTATCTTCCGGCCCAGCCAGGCAGCAAGAATGCAAGCGATTGGCGCGGGAGCGCGTCTCTACTACTTCACTGGACCTGAGTCGCTTGGGAGTGGTGGGCACTCTTATGGTCACTTTGTCCAAAGTGAAGAGCTGTTCCAACTCACGCCGGGGGATTATGTGCATAAGGGAGTTGACTGAAAAGATTTGTGGCCTGGCCGACCCCCGGATGGATCGCACAGTGCGGGCAGGTTTGATGGGGGTTGCATGTGGCTCTGTCCAGCTTTCGGATAAGTCTAAAGCTTTCATCAACTCCGTGCTGGGACGGCAAATCAAGCGCTCCGATCTGGAGGCCTTTCTCCGGGTACCTTCCGCTGAGAACCGGAGCATTGCCAGTCTCCGTAGCGACTGTACCCAAGTCCTCCTAACGGATGCCAAGCCGCATCTGGCTGATTTGCCGCCCCCGTATCATGAACTTGGTCCCACGATGAAGCTTGTCCTGGGTATGTGGCTCCCCCACCTGTCGTTAGAACGCCTGGTTGACATGCTGGGTTATCAGTTCTTAGCCATGGCCTCGGAAGCAGAAATCGAGGAGGAGCCCTCGGAACAGTATCACTACCCAGAGCAAGCTGCGGTCAAGCGGGCCGCCACCCCTGTGGCGATAAAGCCCGGCACGCATACGTGGCCAATCTGCCTTCTCCATCGAGTTCACCCACGAGCGTCGGTCATGCTCCTTACACCGGAGTTGGCGGATGTCCCTGACTGGGCTACCAAATGGTTTGCTGTCGCTGGTAAAGTGCCGGCCAAGGGCACTGCTTTGCTGGTTACCTTGAGAGAAGACAAGGGAGATGTGGCCTACCCAGGCATGTTTATAGAGCTCCAGGCCCCGAAAAAGCTTTCCACCGGCCCTGGCGAAAGTCAGGCCATGCAGCCCGTCAATATAACCATTGCCCTGCTCTTGACTGATGAACAGCACAACCAATTCGCGCAACGACCCTCATTGCCGAGAGTCAGCCAGCTTGAAGTTCTGCCCGGAGGTGCCTCTACCCCGCTTTGGGATGCCCTGTTACACATGCCTAGGGAACGGCAACATGTTGCCTTGGGCGTTCCGCTAGAAGACTCGCCTCTTGATGCCATCCGGCA